ATTATTTGTACAGAATCGTTGAGAAAGGTACTTAGCACAACCTATTTTAATCGCTAAATTTAATGATACCATATAATAGAATTCATGTTTTACATGCATTTATTGGGACATTTGTGGTATTATTAAGTAAAAATTTACATCCCAGTAAATCAGATGAATTGTAGGAGATGGAATTTAAGATGTAAGAATAGTTAAGTGGCACGATACAAGAAAGAAAAAAGTTAAATATACCAACACAGTAAACCTTGGAATAATACTTTTCACTCCACTAACTCTTTGTATCAATTAACAGTAGATAATCCAAGGTTGGTGTCATCTGAACAGATTTTGTAATCTCGAGACTGAACTGTTTCAGATAACTAGTCTAAAAACAATATAAAATGTTTAAATATCACAGAAATAATGTTATGGAAATACTGGCGCTTATGATAATCATGACTACCAAATTTCTACCAATATTTTAACCACTTCTGCATTTTCGCAAGGATGTCAGTTTTTTATTGTTGTTTTTCTTAAAACACAACCAATGTTTGAATACTAGAATTCACTCTAAACAACTCCTGGGCAATTTATGCTCTGTTTAGTCAAAGTATTAAGGTAAAGATCGAAACATTATCATACTTCTAACTAGGTAAATGAAATCAACGTAAATTAGCAATTAAAGCTTTTCTCCAATTTGGATTATCTTCACACCATATGACTAAGACAATGTAAGCCTATGTTCTTTCAAACTGGACTGAAGTAGAATTAGCTCTGTAGTTTTTACAATGTTAAAATTAAAAACAAGCAAAGAGTTTTCAGCCATCTTGCAACAACTGTACAATTCTATCGCGTATCTTCTCAATACGAAAGTATTTTTAGCCACATAGCATGAAGTTTTCCTGCAGATGTGCCCAGAAATAACGTTCCTGCCACCATATTTAGCAACATACCCATATCCAATTTACAATCGAGCACGTTTTGGATGAATGTATAATTTCTACATTTTATATTAATGCCATGTTAAGCCTAACTAACGAAGACAGCATCATTATGTATATCAAGTGAAATCAACACACGGGATTTGAAAATTTTGACCTAACAAAACAGTAATTGCTGATAGATGGCGTAGTTTTAAATAATTTATAATACATATAACAAACATACACACGTGCTTATACAGCTACCGTTCGTAAAAGTTCATAAGTTTAGCCCGCTTTGTATTAAGCAACTTAAGTTTGTTTAAAAGTACATTTTTTTTTGTAGTTCTGGATACGGCTGTTTATTTCTTGTTACTATAGTACAAAATGGCAGCGATTGACAGACATATTTAATTATTTCTTAGTCAAATGCTGTGGTATTTCAAGAATAAAACAAACAGTACTTGGTTGCCACAACAAGTCTTGTGGATGTATTATTTTAGATGTACAGGCTTAGTGTAACTTGCGAATATGAAATTTTAGAAGTACAAGTTAGTGCATAACCTGTTGCAGGTGGAATGAAAGAGATGAGTGGGATCGAAGGTGAACAAAAAACATATTCTATCTACGATATGAAAAGAAAAGCAGCGCAATAACAGAAACTGATTGTACAAGCAGGATGAGTTAATACGCAGTTGAATTAAGATTGAAGAAAAAATAAATAGAAAATAATAAATTGTATTAAAATTTTTTAAAAAATGAATAAGATAAGCTGTATTTATAACAGACAAAGATAATATTTTATTTGAAATAATATGAAGACTTTAACTAAAATAAAAGTCGCGCACGATCAGCAAGCTGAACAACTATATCAATGCTACCAAAACTTCTGAAGCGCTTTTTGATCATTTCAATAAAGAAACTTATTTGATTAAAAACGTCAAAAATTCTCTCAATTCAAACTCTGTAGCTGACAAATCAGAAAATTGGACAAGTATCCAGAGGTATCACTAAATATATGCTATATTCATGGTTGTCTCTATTAGCAACAAATTCTTTGTTAGGATGACTATTTTCTATGGTTGTGCGATTTACACACATCAAAATGCATTTATTCTTTTTGTTTTTAGTGTTCATTTCCAGCAGTTTCCATAGTAGATGGGTTTATCTATTGATGTCCATGTTAGAAAAACTTTCGTAATGATGGATCAGGCGTGTCGGCTGTGAACCAGAGGATCTATTATTGCATCCTGTTGCCGTGTAAAATCCAGCGCAGCAATTTGGGACCATGACTACGTTATAAGAGTGACGGTCAAATCCAACTATTCGATTAGAATACTCTCCCCCCCCCTCCAAAAAAAAAAGGGGCGATGGTTGCTGTTGACTAGCTAGTTGCCTTCACTCTATTCAGTTCAAAATTACGAACAGCTGGAGAAGATGATCTTCATATGGATTTCCACGAGTATCCGAAACAAACACAAACCTTTTAATGGATAAGTACTATGTTTATACGTGTGTACAGGCCGGATTCTTTACAGCAGGTGTCTGTGATACGTTGGCGATAAGTTTCAGCAATAAACAAACAGCATGCAGTCCGCTTGTTTTAAAATAATACATTGAAACAAGTCAAACTTAAATACAAATGTCCGTCTCAGTGTTGATTACCATTTACTTTAGAACACAAATGACAAGATAAATCATTCTTTTATATCCTGTTGTTTCAATAAAATATACGATAATTTCACTTTTACCGAGAATTAGAGCTTTCTACACATTACGATATTATGATGCAATAATGCTCAATTAAAGCAAAGAGAAAAACTCGGAAGGTTCGAGTAACATGACGTCAATTCACAATTGAACTACAGAACGGATGATTAGTAAACGGTTACGTAACAAACTTGGCATAACTATCACTTTTAAAAATAATTTATATAGCTCGAATATTAAAGTTATCTAAATCATAAAATGAAACATTCATGTATATCTAACATTAAGTTTTCATGTTGCAACGTCTTTTCATAATTATTCGTTTATCTTCTGGTTCCACTATATAACGTTTTTCTTTATGTGCAAGTATCAGTGGTAGAATGATTTTCTTCAATGTCCCACACCATTTACCGTTGGAAAACTTTAATTTTCAGGGCTGCTTTATCGTGGTTTGCCGTTTTTACAATATTCTCTATATAATTATCTTTGGACCCATACTAAAGCAGTTACGTTATCCGTCATTTTTTTTTAATGGCGTTTTACTCTGAACATAACTTCTGTGTATCAAACTTGACTGGAGGTTTCAAATGCTGAATTGCAACACATGTGAAACTTGCAATAATGAAAAGGCTAGCAGGATGAATACTCAAGGTCCTACATAAGTAGACAGCTGTTTCTAACGAATACTTTGAACACAAACACACATAAATTGTATGTTATACATTTAAAATGCTTTAAATTTTCCATATAAATGTTTATAGATATTGACTTACATTCCTATTTTTTATGTATGACTCACTATTATACAATAGGTTTGGATGGATATATAAATTATTGTCTGTTAAAGTACGTTTTTACAGGCGTTAATATTTAAACAGTGTAAGGAAGTTTCATCTCGTTTTTGTAAAATGAGTGCTAAGTAGTTTCATTTAGTATAGAAAATAGTTTAGCTTATGTTCTATTATATTACATCATAGCATAAAGGTTGAAGAAAAACTTAACGATTGTCTACTCTTTAAAGATTGAGAGAAATGTTATTTTGTAGTTAGCTCAATTCTCAGTAAATTGTTTCACATATGTAAATCATTTGTGTTTTTCCCGTTATATTTTTAACGTTTCAATGATAAAAATCATTTTGGTTCCTTTTTCTGGATAAACAATAGTAATAACCAAATTCTGATACTTTGTTGCAGTGTCGTTTCATGGAAATGTATGCTTTTACTGGTACAGTTTAAAGAAGAAGATTAAGTATGCACATAGTCATATCTTCGGTATTTTGGTGGATGTCCAAATAGTTGTCGAACATTCTGCCTATTCTATGCCCTAGATAACTTTTGTTGATGTCTACAATGGTCACTTCCTAGAAGAGAAAGGTAAAGGAAGCATCGGTCAACACTGGTATGACAATACAAAGTAACACACAGATGTGGAAGAAAAGAAACAAAAAAAAAACTTTACCCCAAAAGGTTCTTGAGAGAGGTGTCATCGTCTTAAATAACACTCATTTTTCATTACTCAACACTATTGAGTTAGATAACTCGAAAAAAATGAATTAAGTGACCAAGATAAAATGAAAATATAGTAAGTGTGAACAGAGAAATCGTTTGTGACCAAAATCATAAACAGTAACTTGACCATAATCAAGGGGGAAAAATCATATCCTTAACATTTTATTGCTTAAAACATTGTGCCCCTGGACTGTTTAAACGCAAAATTCAATCTACTTTAAATTATTAAAATAAGTCTCAATAAATAGTCTGAACATAAAAAATCCCAACGCTGATGAGTTATCAGTACAAACACGATTTACAATTGATGATCAGTTGAGGAAGATTCAAATGTAACACACACACACACGGTTTTACACGTTTACTCCAGGCAGTTCAATATATGCATAGCTCTGGTATAAAAAAACCAAAGTTCTTCTAAACAGTGATTTGTAAAAACAATTTATCAGGACAAAGCAAACACTACTTCTTGAGTCTTGCGTAACTCTTAAAAACATACAAATATTTTACCAGTCTACTAGTTTTAATAGCCTGGAATTATTATGAAGCTATTAATAATGTATTTATGTACATTGTTTTATGTTAGAAATTTGCTTAATAGATTGTAAAGCCATACACTGAAATACGTTTTTCCACAAACATTAATAGATGAAGTATCTAGTGTATGTTCACCGATGATATCTAATAGCTACTTATATTAAAACTTTAGGTTCTGGTATATAAGAAATGAAAAAAAAAAATCAGTCTAAGTAAGTTTTTTTCAAGCAAGTCCCCATTTCTGGATTCTTCTCCTGTATCCAAAATGCTAGAGACAATAGTGTGTATATATAAACACACACTACTGTTTATATAATATCATAACAAAGTCAAAACTATTACTACGTTTTAAGTTTGATCAATACTTTTATTGTTGTCATACACGTTCTGCATAACGCTTATGATTCATACAAAACATTGTTTAAGATACAAAATGCTTTCAATTTACATACATGGCTATTTAACACATACAATTAACATTTCACTAATCTTTATACATCCAACAAGGAAACTTTTTAAAAGTATGACGTAAAATTGTTAATACAGTTGAATAATAGTTAAAATGTAACTTATGCAGTGTAATCCATGAAGTCCAAACATAGGTTTGCTACACATAAAAACAAAACCAAAAAAAAACTTATGGCTCTGTGAATAACATGAAACAAATTAACATCTTTGTATTTCAGGAATCAGAATCTCCTCATGGAGCTAATGTAACGGTTGCCACCAAATGACCCCCCACCTCCCATATCCGGATTATTGCCAAACATGTTGGAAATTGACTGAGGATGAATGATAGGTGGCTGAGCTAAAATCTGCTGCCCAGCAGTACTCATCATACCTCCAACCCAACGATTTTGCTCTACTCCTATCCTGCTCCATTGATCAGGTGTATGTATTCTACCAGCACTCCAGGAATCTCTTCCTCCTTGTTTGTCTCCATATCTACTTCTATCAAACCCACCTGATGAGCCACTTTTTCCAGAGTCCACAAACCTATCTGAACGGCTCCTTGACTGTGCATCTCGCTGGTCTTTTCCTCTTAACTCTTTGTCTCGAGATCCACCATGGATATAGCGAACTGTTCTGTCGATGCTCCTACGTTCCTCCCGCACAAGTGGTAGTTCATCCCTCCTAGTATCTCTATGCAGACTTCCAAATTCTGATTTGGAAGGTGTAGTATCATGCCTGCTCTTACTAAACCGATCTCCTCCACGACTGTATGTTTCACGTTCTAACGATCCTTTAGTTGGACTGTCGTTATAAAGTCTAGAATCAATATAGAAGAGATCCCTGATAACTGACACTGAGGTAGTAGTCACAAAAACAAGTCAACAAAAAACTTCAAAAACAAGTAACAAACTATGCATTTTAACACACAGAAAAATAATAATTCAAAATGTGCTACTTATAAATAAATAAATAAATGGAATTGCAAATAAAAAATTTCTAAAAATCTGGGCTTATCAAGAACTCTCAGCTAATTATCTATTGCCCTCGTCCCACGATACACAGTTAACTGTAACACAAAATTTGTACTCAAATAAGCTAAAAAATATGATCTATAAATTAAAGCAACAAACACGTCCTTCTGTAAATTTTATTAATTAAAATAGGTGAAGAAACTAACAAACTGTTCACACAAACACAGTAATACGAATTCAATTATTGTGTATCTTTCAAAAAACATTTAATGAAAATTTGTTTATCCTAATTTATCAAGTTCATATTCTTCAAGAAATGCTATTGGTAATGACTATGTTGATATTCCACTTTTATTAACACTATTGCATTAAATGCAAAGACATCCAATGCACACAGATAAAGTCTGCCACAAATTTAAAAACCTGTATTCACCTGGACAACAGTTATTATGGTGTGAATGTCTTTTACCAGCTGACGAAGCATGATTATAATTAACTATACTTATCATCAGACAGTAGTAGTATATAGTGTTCTGATCACTGCTGTGTTTGTTATACCCTACCTGGACTGAGAAAAACACATGGTCAGCAATGGATATGGCAAATATAGTGTTCTTGGAATACTATTATTATAATACACTCTTATAATTCTTAAAAATCCCCAAGGGACAAAATACAAATGTAGTGTTAAAAATCTAATAGGCCTAATACTATGTTTTATGACAAGTATAATTAATTATAATCATGATTCGATTGTTTGTAAAAGGCATTCATACCATAACAATTGTTGTTGAAGCAAATGGTTTACATAAATAATGTTCTAACCACTGCTGTGTTTGTTGTCGGCCTGAAGAGCTCTGGAATAAACAAAACACATCATTGGCAATGGAGTGACAAATATAGTATGGTTGGAATACTATTATTATTGTAATTCCTGAAAATCCCTAAGGGACTAGTTAAAGCATGTAATGTTGAAATGTATAATAGCTTAATACTAATGTCTTATGACATCTATAATTAATTACTTTCATCTGAATATATTATTGCAATAGTTTCATTATATCCATAATACACAAGGACAAATAAGATGGTCACATAGAAAAATGTTAGCAAAATTAGTCCTGTATTAGTAAAATTACTTGGATAAAAAAACCTTAAAACCTACCTGACTCCACCATCAAGAAATGAAATGCTTTCATATGCAGAGGAAAAAGATGGTCGTTTTCGACTTTCCCAGAAAGAGTCTGAATCTCGGCTCTCATATGATCGCTTGGACCCACGTCTTTCTATATCTACAGCACTATAGAAAAAATGAGTATTTGTTGAAATTATAATCATGGTAAAGGGTAGCACTTAACATCTAGAACATAGAAAAATATTTAATATTTCTTAGAAAATTCTCCATCAAACCCTTTTTCAGCTCTTTATATTTGTCATAGGCAACTTGTTAAAACTCTTCAAAATAATAAACTTAGTTCCAGTTAAACTATTCATTTATGTAAATTTTGTTTTTACTTTCATGTCATCTGTTTTGAGTTATAATACTTGGCATACATGCACTGTCTCCATTCCATTGCCTTTATTAAATTTGACATATTCCAAGGTGTTTAATCATACATTCATAATTCATTACTTACAAATATGAGAGCTATAGTGTTTCTATATTTAACAATAAAAGTCTGAATTTTGAGCTAGTACATTTTCAGCTATCCAATCCATTATGACCTACTTCAGTCATTTAATATTACTGGTAAAGTATCAGTCCCTTAAAATTACATAGAAACACTTGCTTGAATAGCAATTACAAGAGTTAAATATAAAAGCTCACTTCAGTTGTCTTCGTCTTCTCAGTTCTTCTTTCTCAATCTCTAACCGTTCCCTTTCTAGTTTGTGCTTTTCCCTTTCAAGCTTCAAAACAGCAGCTCTTTCTCTTTCTAATCTTTCACGTTCATGTCTAGAAGAATATTCCTTTAATAAATTTCTCAAACTACAAACAATGCTGTAATTTCAAAGTTTAAAAGTTTCTAAATGATAACTCTGAAAATGTTATTTAAATAAATTACAGTTGTCTACCTCAATTAAAAAAAACAAACTTTTATTTAATGTTGTTAAGGAAGTAGAAGAAAAAAAATTTCCAAATGTATTACAAATATGAATTGGGTATAATCAAAATATCTAATTTTATTTACAAATTTTTATAATTAAGAAGTTCGTTCAAACACAATAGTTCTGCTCAAAACAAATATTAAAGCTTTTACAGTAAAGTTATAGCCTGAAGGTTAGAATTTACATATACATATGTTACTTAACGACGTGGGTGTACACTATAAAATTCTGTTACAGTTAGTTCCTTTACCTACTCTCAGGAACTACATGAAGAGAGAAGAAATCCCATAAAAACAGTTACACATTATAAACAGGGTGTAAAACTAGTGAATAATTACCAAAGTATGGTGGGAATGTACTGTCATGCTCAGTTTTAGATAAGCTTTTAATATTAATCATAAAAATAATGGTGATTTTTGTGTCATCCACTATTAAACATTTTCATTTGTAATCATATGATAAACATTAGAGAATCAGATTGTTTAGGATGTTTTTTCATCCTTTTTACACACAGCAAACATTTTCTTTTAAGTACTACAAAACACTAAACTTTAGTGGAAAGCAGAAAATTTTTTACCCAAGCTGTATATACAATTGCATGAAAACATACTGGTGAACAATGTATAGACACACACACATTTTTATATTATATGAACAATCTAATGCTTCAGTTTCAAAACTGTCTTTCTGAAAAGTATTTGAAAACTTATTGCCAGAAATTAGGATTCCTGTAATACTATTCAATTACTGGCAACCAAAACAGCCAAGAAACACTACTAAACAAAAAAACAAATGGGAGAAATACATTCAATAACTGAATAATGGTTTATCATGAAATAAGAATATATAAGATTTAATGTATGACTCAACTTAGCTATAATAATTTATTAATGTAGTTTAAGATACTTTAACTGTCAGGTCATGTTTTTGCAAAATAAATAACTAATAGAAGTTTGATTTACCATTTTGAAAGTCAATTCATACACAATTAAAAATCTTCTTACCTTAAGCAATTGGCTTAACATACTTCAAACAAGAATCAGATTATAATGGTAACATAAATTATAAAACTGTAAGTATAGGAAACCTGCCATCCTATCTCCTTCCAACTTACAGTTTCTAGGTTGGGAACAGTTCTAGATCAAAAGTACATTATAAATATGTGTTTAACTATCACCAAACTACTATGGTATATATTTACCCCCCCCCCCTTTTTTTTAAACAAATAAATTATAGGTTGGTTTGTTTAAAACAAATAACAGAGCAAAATGATTCATTCAGTATTATTTCAACAAACCTTAAGCGTTCTCTTTCTCTTTTCAATTTTAAGACTTCTTCTCGCTGCCTCCTTTCACTCTCTCTCAGTCTTAAGTATTCTTGGTTACGCCTTCGTTCTGCTCTCCGCTCTGCAATTCTCATTTCCCTTCCTTTCTGTATTTGTCGTTGTCGATATCTTTCCTCCTACAAAACAACAATATCATCTCAAAGTCAAGAAATCTAACTAGACAAAAAAAATATGATGGTAAAATATTATTGCATCAGTCTTTCTTAAGTAATATTTGGTTTAAAACTAGTCTTTTAAATACTTTGAAATATCTTGATATGACTGAATTAGTTTTACCAGAAGAATTAAGAAAAAACTATCATTTAATACCTTTTAACAGCATTATGTGTACAATGGATGTTTCTTCCCTTCACACTAACAATCAACATGATGAAGGACTCGAAATTCTAAAATCTACCCTAAACCTTTCAAATTCACCAGAATCTCAGAAAAAGTAACCGCCCTTGCTATTCTTTTCCCTAAACGACTTTGAATTCCACAACAAACATTATCTTCAGAATAAAGATACTGCAATAGATACCAAATAATATCTCCTAACTATGCCAACATATTTAAGGGCCATATTAAAAGGCAGCTCTTACAGCGAAGCCCTCTTGACACTTCACAACTGGAAACATTAACTTGATGTAATGCTTTTCATTTGGACAGCCAATTTTGAATCACCTTCTTTCTTAGGTTAACACCTTTCACAAAACAATCAGGTTTACTCTTGATTATTCTCATACCCAAATTACATTTCTTGATGTCACTGCTTCTTTGAATCATGAACTTCTGCAAACAAAAGCATGCAACCCACTCACATTATACTTGCAGTCAGGCACTCCAAAGCAAGAAAATCTGTACTGGTGAAACAAGTTACAGAAAACACAATGACAATCGAAAACAAATCATATTAGAGAAAAAAAAAAAGAATATATACACCAAAACCAACAGACTGAAAAACCTAACAACACTCAATAAAAAACCACCTTTAAACACAGAAACACTAAAGATTCAAACAAAATTTTTGTTCTTATTATATATCACTTTAAACTCCGAAACTTTTCATATATTCTGGAAAAGAAGGAAAAACATTTCCACTTATTACAAGTGAATGATTGCCCGAGAGACAAATTACCACTGCCTCCTTCCAGAAGAGCACAAATTTAAAAATATATTCTTGAATTACAACTACATGAATTACATCCATTACAGAATCATTGTCATCCATGTAATAAAGCACAATGTCTAACTTGCTAATACATAAAAGTACAAGCTTTTTCAGTGAAACAGGACCAAAAACATTTTAAAATTACTAAAGAAATTACTTGCACAACACATACAATTTACCTAATACAGTGCAAAAAATTCAATCACCAGGATGTTAAACACATCTAAATAACTCTTAGAGAGCTTTTGAAAAAACCATAAGTCTTCTATTAATGCTGAAAATAATTCTTGTTGCCAAACTCTTCAACCAGTCTGGTCATTCTATTAATGATGCGATTCTCATAGATACTGAAACAGTTTTAACACTAAAACTGATAGAGAAATGAAAGAATACTTGTGGATTATCTTTTTAAATACTGTTCAACCCAGTAGAATAAATGTAAATCCTGGAAACTGTGATATTTGACCATTGGTTAATTCCATGACTGGCAAATATGTTTGTTTTTCCTTTCTCATGTGTTTTGCAAATTCTTTATTTTTACCTCAAATCATTTGAGATGTTTCATATTTCTGATAATTTACCAACTGTTTTATATCTTTTTAGTTCTATCTAATTAGCATTTTCTTGTTATTCAATTTTCTTATCACAACTTTATTTTACTTCATTAATATCCAATGTAGTTTTCCTTGACATTTTTTTAAAAAAAGTTTTGTAACCTCTATATGTAACATTCTCATTCCTTGTTGTACTGTACAAAGAAAATAAGTCACATCAGCAGCAATCCTCTGAAAACTAATCAAAACACTTCTGGGTTGTCATGGTGAATACCATGATGTCACTCCACCTTTTCTCATGCTTCACTTTACTCAGTCATTCTGAATTTGACCCCTGATAAAGATGGCTCTACCTTTTGAAAGCACTTGAGTTAAAGGGTTTCACATTTTTTGCTTTCACATGTGAGGTAGCTTAACAACTTAATGTCCCCAGAGGTGCTTTATGTCATCTGCTGGGCTGTTCCATGACTATATCTGACATAGCTATTCACTTTAATGTATAGTGAGTTGCATTATATCTAATAATTAAATTAACCATTATCTATTATGAAGTATGTTAAAATAATAAAAGCAACATTAAAACAGACACACTGACAGAGACCCGCAAAACATTTGCAGTCAAATTAATATTTTATTGCAACAGTACTTCTAGAATATAAAAAAGTATTCTAATACAGACACCAAAATCTACAAATCCACTTGCCTTAGGTCTAACCTTTTTAAGCTTTTCTTAAGGTCTATATTCAATAAAGATATGAATTAACACTAACTTATGAACACTAAGTACATTCATAATATCAATAAATAAACTTATAACATTATTCTATGATCTAATGTTAGACCTTTCTAAAAACTTTGATGTGTTTTTAATATGATGTATAAAATGTCTACTATAGTACATTTACATCCAACTTTTGTTTGCATCCATTAAAATAAAGTGCATGTGTGCACACATTTAGATAGCATTTTCAGAACAGACAAAAACTGAGTATAACAACATATTTACAGAAATACACTTAAAAATTTCTATTATTACATGGGCTGTAATGTTTGCAAAATAATTTTCATAAAAATAAGAAGCTGTTATACATAACAGAATGCTTCAAATCCAATAACATGACACACACACATACAGAAAATGAGAATCCAAGAAAAATATTTGTCTTAAAATACTCTAATATCATTTGTTTAATTCACATAATAGTACATTTCACGTCAGTTACAAGCATTAATCTTTTGCATTATAGTCTTAGGGTGGGTACTAGATTTGAAGAATCCCTTGAAATTATTTTTATCATTATATATTAAAATGAATGTTAGAACATTATTGTGTTGGGATTTTTACAAGCAGTTTGCTTTCATTACACTTAGTACTGAGCTGTCAAAAATATATGCATAAAAGATTCTACAACTGTATATAAATTTCTGCTACAATATGAGGATTTTACAATCACTGAAAAACCAGCAGATTTTTCTGTATTTACTTCTCATGTACAATCATTATCATTAAACTTTGCAACGACAGTTCTGAATAGTTAAAACATTTCAGTCCTATTGAATATGTAAAAAATAGTGGATTTGGTTTAAGTGTACAAAAATCTGTTTGCAAAATGCAACAGTCGTAACTTCAAGAACCAACTGAAAGAAACTGGATTTATGTTACAAAAATACATAATTCTAACTAGAAGTTTTCATGCACAGACATTTTAACATTTAAATACAATATTATTAATATTTACATTGTATTTGTTCAATACAGTACAACATATTCTTTCCTCTTAGAAAACTAGATTTAAAATAACATATTTTATGCAAAATTCAGAAATTATAAGTTTATCTAAAGATGGGTCACTATGTGATGTACTTTTTTCAAAGTACTGTTTAGGAACTTACCTTAATTTTTTGGAATGTCAGCAGATTCTGTCCGCCTCGGAGCCTTGTTCTTCTGGGTCTTTGACCTCTTTTGTTTCCAACATTCCTTGATCCACCAGGTTGAGTGCTAGCAGCAGCTCTTGAACGCTCAGAGCCACGGCTCTTAGATCTTTTTTCCTTTGAATTTTCTTTCTCTTTATCTCCTTCTTTCTTTTCAGTAGCATTAGTGCTGCTTTCTCCTGAAATTCCATGGTATTAAAAAAATCGTTTACTTGCATAAATATAAAGAAAATTCAAAGTTTTCAAATTAGTAATATATAAAATTTCAAAATAATGTACATTCTTCCTTAACAGATGCCTAAAAACAATTTATATGACAAAATTGAGAATTTTACTAAAAATTATAAATATGTTTAGTTATAGAATGTTACATACAAATTGTATCCTAACCAAAACTACATGGTTTGGCACTTTATTTCCAGACTGCTGGTAATCTCAACAATTTACATGATTATAAGAAGTCCCCAGATAATTGTAAATATGGATGTTGTCTTAAAGTATTAGATCTAAAGAAAAAATTAAAATTTCTCTAGCTTATAATTTTATCTTAGTGCATGCTTTCCTTAAAAACTATACGCTATACTTGAATTTGTACTCCTCGTGTTACATTTTAAAACTTGTATGTAAGTAAGAGAGAAATAACCCAAACATTAACCAAACCCATTTCACCAAATACTGAGGCAACAAGTAATCAAATATACCTGTACTACCCAAAATTTACCTTTTGTTTCACCTTTTTTATGCTCTTCTACTTTTTTCTTCTTCCCTTCAGCATCATTACTTTTTTTATTTTCTACAAATGAAGTTAAAAATATCCATTTTAATTCAACTCTTTTTTTTTTTTATCACATCAATAACAAAGTAATGTGTTCTATTTCATATCTTACTTACTACATGGACAGAACTGGTAATAGTTTGACTAGCAACCTGAGCAGAAATTAAGGTTGTACCCCTACTCACAAAATATAACTAACTAATCAAGATTAGTTGTTCCAATTATTACTGCTTTAGATTATTCCAAAAATCAATTAATCAAAATTGATTGTTACAAAAATAATATAGTAAGTGATATGATGGTTTCCAATTATTGACACTTTGGTTGTTACAAAGATGATGAAACTAACCATGTACATATATAGAGGTAAATCAACCAAAAATTACAATACCCATATGGATAAATATCTCAGAAAAACATTCAAAAATTAAGTCTGTATATGTTGCATGGTATTATACTTTGGCAAATACAGACAACGCAACGTCTCTTGAGTCATATATTTTACTGAATCTTTGTTTGTTTGTTTTTTTGAATTTCGCGCAAAGCTACACGAGGGCTATCTGCGCTAGCCATCCCTAATTTAGCAGTGTAAGACTAGAGAGAAGGCAGCTAGTCATCACCACCCACTGCCAACTCTTGGGCTACTTTTTTACCAATGAATAGTGGGATTGACCGTCACATTATAATGCCCCCACGGCTGAGAGGGCGAGCATGTTTGGTGTCTGAATCTTTGTATGTAACTCTCAGTATAATGGCTCAGTCATTTTGACCAACCTTGTAACTCCAAAACTATACATATAATAGCTCTGAATGTATTAAGTGTACCTCCATGAAATTTGGCAAGGTTTTAGTAATACACAAAAAGGCTGTTGTGCACAAAAAAATCTGATTTTTTAATAAAGTACATTTACTAAAGATTTGTTCAAGAATATACAAAACTTTTAGTCAGTGATAAAAATACTTTTTGTTCTTTTACAATTTTCATATATCATTTGTATAATCTCTAAAACCTCCTAAATAAATATTGCAAGTTTTTTTTTTTTGGCTAAATTATTTCATCACTTATTTTTTATACTACCCCAATATCAACTGTAGCAAAAATTAAAAAATACTGAAAATATGAAATAAAACAATAAACACTTTTTTTTAAATTCTAGAATGACTGCAGATTGTAACAGTTAAAATTACTTATTCTAACATAGCTTCAGTCTTCTAAACATTTCACATCTGCTTCCTTTTAATCTTATTACTTTACAATGCCCTTTAGACCCCATCTACCATGTGAAAGTCAATTTATCAAGCAGGAAAACTTAGTGTAAACAACTGATCAAGTTACACTGATGTGACATATTTAGCACACCCTGGATTATTTTTTCATTTACATTTTGTTATCCAATCAAATAAGTTTCTCATCTTAACATTTTAGAAACCTTTGTTACAAAATAGATAACAATAAATAAATATACATCAAAAACAAAAAATTTAAGACTTACCTAAGCAAATAAGCCTATCTTTACTCAAGAATATACTTCAAAAAAGTTACTTTAGTCACATTATGTTAGTTGTACACAAAATAATTCATGTTACTTTCAAATACACATCTTGTCACACACAAAAATATACCAGGCACAAGAATAAAATGTCTAAAAACTACTGTAATTTAACCAACTTTCTAGCTAAGATATAAATAGGTTTAAAAATTCAATTACTGTTCAGACCAATGACTTTAGTAAAAAACACTTCCTAGTTACTGGTTCTGAGTGTCAAATCAAAGTAAACGATCATCTGATTCATGTGTTCAGAAGCTACTCTTTCAATTGGTTATAAACACGTTCAATAACACTGCTAGAGACAATTAAAGATGTCTTGAAAGACAGAGAAATAGGAGGGCATGTCATGTGGGTGTGATAAAAGTAATATCTTAGTAGAGTAAGAAGACCATTCATTCAAATTTTACAATCTGGGTTGTAGATATCTAAACTGTGTACTTAATTCATTGGACACTCAGAAATCCATATACAGGTAGAAACAAAAACTAAACTGGGGGAACTCAGAACACCAGACACATCACATAACAGTGTTCAAGACTGAGAACTGAAACTTAAATAATACAAAAACTTGTGTTATAGACTATGTCTTATTGCCAGACTTATTGACACACACTGATAACGTATTTTAAATAAATTTTGAACATAACTCTGTAAAAACTTTGTGATATGCACACTTTGATCCTCTTCAATGCATAGGATTAAATGTACTGAACAATAATAAAAATTACTTTTAAGTATAGCGTTAAGATCAAAACACCTGGCAATATTGCACTCTTATTTCAAGATTTACAATGCATGCCTGGCACCTAGTCCACAGTCAAAATCATCAATATTTATTTTATTTTTGCTTCAGTTTTTTTAAATCAAAATTTTTGTTTCTTAGTTTTGTTTTATTTATAGCAATTCTACTGACATCTAGAACCTTCATAACAAATGACTGAAATATTTTCCCAAAAGCTGTGTTGTAGTATTGAAAATGACAAAATGGTGACATTAAAAAAAAGAAGAAACGGCTGTAGTATGCCCTGAGGGCACCACTGACTTGTGTCGAGTTGAATAATAAATGGTTAAGAACACAAAAGGAAAATAAAAATTTGACTATATGTGAAAAGTTAAAGACGAAATTACAGATATAACCACAAGATCTTTTAAGATCATTCTACAAAAAATTAAAAGATGTGTTGTACATTTTTCTATTTCTTAATTTCAAACATTTCATTGCACTGTATGTTGATAATAGTTACAATTAGTGATATGGCAGAGAAAATTAAAAATATATTATAAATATTTAACTAAAAAAAATTTTTGATATTCATTTAGGAGGTTCTAGAGAGAGAGACGTTATGCAAATGAAATTAAAAACTGTACAATGAAAAAAAAGTATTCTTACACTTAAAACAAAAATCACTTTGCATTTCAACTATTCAGTGGTATGTAAATAACTACAATAGATAACATATTTTTAGTAGAAAGACTTAATTAAACTAATCTCATTATTTGTGTACAAATTACTTGTAACCTTTTTATGAAGATACAGTTTTCTTTTAAGCTCATATTTACTGTATGTATTACTGTACATGTATCCTTCCCCAGATGGGCTCATGTATTTTACACGAACCCATTGCAAAAGGGGTTAAATAGCATCAAGTATAGTATCACAAACAAACAAAAAAATCATATAGTTTGATTTGATTTTTATAACATATTTTATGTTGTGAAACTTGAAACATTTTTTTGTGAGACAGTTTTGAAAAAAAAACGAAAATTGTTTTTTAATATTGATAAAAAAGTTACATTTTATATATCCAATCATTTATATTTTGATATATAAATGATCAAAATACTTTGATACTCCTTAACTTTACTGATTACAGCAGTTACCATTTCTGGCTATGAATCATAAAAAACACTGCATAAATGAAGATTTACTGGTCACCTAGAACCTGACCTTTCAAATGGAATCATGTCAGACAAGGCAACAATATTTTTCTAACTATATTCTTGGTCTACATCAATTTACATCTAATAAATATAGTTTATTTTCAATTAATTACAATTTCTTTCATTAATGTGCATAGTTTGAATGATAAACAATAATCAATAAATAAAGTTTGAATCCTTGGAATATTATGCTGTTGCCCACTGTATATGCTAAGCCAATCTAAGCTTACTTCATATTTTGCCATGAAATAAATTTTCTATATCTCTCACAATTATAATTTATGATGAAAACATTTCCAGGCATGAAAAGAATGTCTAAAGAAACTACATAAAGATTTCCAGATCTGCTTTTTTTTTTGTCCCAAAGTCCTCTTAGCTTCACTTTATATTCCATTATTCTTCTCTTCAGAATCTCCATCTTGTCATTTCCTCACAAAACCACAAATTAATTCCCAAAACACTTTATTCATTCTACATTGGTGTAAATAGTTTATAATTTACTCTATTTAACAGCACTTAAACTGTCTGTAGCTACTTTCAAAGCTGAACTTCATAAACAGTCAGATCAGATACAGTAACATAAAAGGGTGGGACACCTGTATGAAATAAAACCAGAGAATAGAAACAGAATATGGATAATTATTTTCTCTAGGGATGATAATTTATTAGCAAATATACACCTATGCTTTGGAATGGGCATTAAAAAAATAAAATTGATAAGTGTATTTTACATGGCAGTACAGAAATGAGTTTATTCTTTTCATTTTGCTTTGTGAATTACACTAAATAAATGATACAAAATGACAAAATATTAATTCTAAAATATCTTTAAAGTCAGAAATTGTTGATACATAATTCTTTTTAACATTTTGGAATTTGATATGCAGATGTTCACTCAATACCTAAAACCAAAAAGTATTCTGCAGTTTAGATTAGTTAATGCTGAAGGCATGAATTGCTGTCACAAATTTCTTTGTGAAATAGTTATATAAAATATTGCTGTAACAAATAGTTAACCTTTTTTGGACAGTCATAACTGATATAGAAACATTTCAACAAACCCAATAAAATTTGGTTCCTAGCTAAACATTATTTCATCATAAGAACTTAGAAGTGAAAGTAAAAAAGAATGCAACAGTATTTCAAGCACACTATATCTGCTGTATCCATTGCCAACAAGACCTTTTGGCCAATAGCAGGGCTCATTAGGCCTATAGGGATATGACAGACATAGTAGTGGCCATGATGCTACTTATATCATCAATTACTTAAACAACTGTTGTGGTGCAAACTACTTGAAGTTGGTGAAATGTAATTTCTATCAATTTTATTCAAGTAATTACAATTCAGAAGTGGGTTTATGGTTTTTATTAACATCAAATTATATATTATTAATACTATTTACTGCACTTGAATTAAGCTCAGAAAAACTGTTGAACCAGTGTTTAAGGCAAGTATAATACACGTATAAACATCCTTTTCAGTAATCTATTTATACTGATACCAAAATATTAGACACATGCTTGCCTTTATCTTTCTCATTCTTGCTATCAGCACCAGTTGATGTCTGACTTAAAGGCTTATCTTTCTGTGTATTCTTCTTCCCTGATCCAGTGCTGGTTCTATTTTCAGTCCTTCTCAAAGCAGCTCCATGTTCATTACGTGGCTAAGATAAATGATTACAAAACTTAAAAAACTGTCTGAATTTAAAGAAAAAGCATCTTAAAAGATCCACATCTTAGTAGTTTAATAGTTGTTAACAAAATTTAAAAAAAAGACAAACAAATGAATTATAATCAAATGCCAGATAAAACAAGACACTTACCAGCTTTAGCATTTATTTTTAAGCTACATTAGTATTATTTGGTTATAGTTTGTGATGAATAGTGCCATGCTTCCAACAAAAATCTTAGACATATGAATGACCAATGGAAAAGAAGAAATTGATTTTCAAACACCATTTATATGCAAGAAATTTTCTATTATATAACCTGTATAATTTTAGCATGAAATCCTATAATACAATGAAGTAATAGATTATTTACTTAACCCAATATTCAGAAATAGTTCATGTCACTATTGATCATTTAGCCATAAAAGCAATTATGCTATAATTATGGTTAATTCCTCTTTTTACATTAAGATTATCTGGAATGGGTACAAAATAGCAAAATCTGGATTAAATGCATATAACATGAAACTTTCAAGGAATATGATATGTAATGTATCGAAGTCACTACTGGAAGTGACACGGTAGTTTAAACATTGACAATAATTCATGAAATCTCTAAATAAAATAATATCACAAATTAGTTACTATAATTTTATTTATATGTATGAATTACTTCTAAAGTTGTAATACCGAACCAAGCTTTTCATACAGAACAGTAAGTACCATTCTTACTAAACAAATCAAATGATACAGAACTGAAAGTGAGGAATCAGTCAGAAGTATTCACATAATAACACAAAACAAATTACTGTGAAAACAAATTGGATTTTTTAAAACTTGACTGTTTAATTATTCATCCTGTGTTGAACTTATTTGCAAATGGTTTAAAATAATTAATTAATAACATTACCCACCACTGCCCGTGGAATCCCTTCAGATCTAGTAATGGTGGTTTGCATAATAATTAACAAACAACTCAGCTTGTTTCTCACAGGGAAAAACACTAATTAAAAAGTGTATGGTGAATTTCATGTCATCATATTAAAGAAAATCCTTACATTTATAAGTTGCCAAATAAAAAGGAGTTTCCAAGATTTTTTATCTTTTTAAGAATTTTTTTTATTTACAAATTTTTACTAATCTAAGGAACAGACTTTTGAGTACAAAAGACACAGGAAGCAGCAGATCTGCATAAAACTATCCTGTATGCTTAAGTAAGAAAAGCTTTTGTTTCCATTTAGTTTTATTGCTTTATAGCTTCACTTAGATTCTCTCAGAGTACAAACATCTTTGTGTAAATAGATGATCAAATAACAAGCACTCCAAGATGAAATACATTCATGCCACGCTATGTGCACATGCTACGAAACTGAATACCACAAGAATGTTTTTTTATTTCAGTTTTCTTGTCTAACCTAACAAGTTTCTATTTTTTCATTACTTTTAAAACAAAAAATAAAAATTATCCATAAATAATCATTTTAATCCAACAACTTTCTCTTTGACACATCAATAACAAAGTAGTGTGTTCTATTTCATATTTTACTTACTATACTGACGGAGACCAGCAATAGCTTAACTGGCACCCTTAGCAGAAATTAAGACTGTGCACCTACTCACAAAATATAATCAACTAATCAAGATTAGTTGTTCCAATTATTATTGTTTGAGAATATTCCAACAATCAAGTAATCAAAATTATGTGTAAGTTGATTGTCACAAAAATAATCAAGTAATGTAGAATCTGCTCTTTCTATTGGTTATGTTTGTTTGTTTGTTATGGATTTCGTGCAAAGCTACACGAGGGCTATCTGCGCTAGCAAAAATAATCCAATAGCAAATGTCAGATACAGTTACTGACATATTTGTGAAATACACGATGGTGCTGGATTTTGGACTATTTACATCAACAACAAAGCATCACAGATCTACTTTTTTGCAACAATGCTGGTTGTCCAAAATATTAATTTTTTTATTTCAAACTTGGAATTCTTAACACAAATATCAGAATGTGTTAAAACTACTATAATTCAACTGGCTTTCTAATTAAGTTATAAATAGGTTAAAATTTCATTACAAGATTAATTATACAGCTAGTTTGTTTAGATGCCAGGTTAGGAAATACATGGCCTCACTTATCTCAGATCAGTTGACTGAGCCTCTAGCGAGAGAGTTAAAACTAAACAGCACCTTCCAACCTGTTGTGACAACTGTATCTCTGCTACAGTTGCACTATGTATATTAACCCTTCAAATCCAGCTGTGAATTCTACTTGTAACTAACATCACTCTCATCATATTTCGTTCCAGAAATAAAATTAGTGGGTGAAATTGTTTAAAATTTGACAAGAACATTTCTAAGTTTCTAGTTTAAGAAAAATAAAATATTTAATTTTCATTTTTTCAACTATTTCTAATAAAAAATTAATTATTTAATGTAGTTATTTGCCCTCAGACTCCGAATAGTTCACCTGCAAGGTGATTTTTATATGAAGTATAAAAATACTATTTATTATCTTACATTTTTCATATTTCATTTGCATTATCTATAGAACCTCCTAAATGAATATCAAAAGTTTTTTTAAAAGTAAATGTTTGTATTTTATTATCCATTTTCTCTACAATATCACTAACTCTACCAATTATCATAAACATACACACTAATGAAATGTTTAAAAATAAGAAATGTAAATATGTACATACCTTTTAGCTCTTCATACAAGTCTTTTGAAACTCAATTTGTAATATGTGTAATTTCACATCTTTTTATTTTCACTTATACTTTATTTTTAATTTTCATTTCCAAGTCTTTTATTATTTATGCTGATATGCTAACTGGTGGCTGCAGGGGTTTTATCTTTATTATTATCTGGCAACTCCTGCACAGAGACTAGTTTCACTAACGCTTTGAGCATGCAAAAAAATGGCGTCTGCTTTATAAACTTTCACAATCCAGGCAAAAAAGAAGTGAAACTTATAAAAAAAAATCATTAAACCTTTGAAATATGATTTTTTAAAACAGAAATAATAGATAATTAACTAAATTATAAAAGTAAGACCTGAATACAATTTAACTGTCTCTCTGTTTAACTGTTTGAGATTCAAACATCATTGCTGTAAACTTTAGTTAAATCAATAACAATTCTGATAGACTGAAAGAAAATATTACCCTTTCAACTGATATAATTTTTCCATTTAATTCTGTTTGATGCAGTTTCTGTATGCATTTTGATGCTACTTCACTGGTTTCCATAGTAACAAATCCATAGCATCTTGATCCTGGAGACTTGGCATTAGTTACAATTTTTGTTCCTACAACCTGTAAGAACAAAAATGCTTTAATTTGTAAAATAATAAACCAAAAACAACCTTAATTTTTTTAAACTAGTTTAATAACTATCACTGATATTTTATTTTTATAATATTCAAGTAAAAATATAAAGTATTTTTATGCACTATGGTAAAGAAGTTATTAAACATTATGCACACAAATATTACCATTCCACTGTATGCAAGTCAAATAATTTCCTTATGTCTCATATCTGTCAAAGTTTTCCATTCTGTCTTTTCTTCTTACGACATCTGATGTATTCAGATGTAAAGACACTACACATATTTATTGAAAAGACCTAGCATAAAACTAGCCTTAGAGCAAATGTTCTTTATTATTTAACATAAATTCTATTCTGCCTAACCTACAAAAAACATTTGAAGTTATCTTTTACATCTAGTTTCAAATACTAATTTATTCTCTAAGCACAGTTATTTCTAAGTTAACAGTAGCTTTAACATTCAATTTTTGGTCCATGAACATCAAAAAGTAAAGCACACACTTATGACTAGTAGAATTTTCAACACATTATGTTCCAGATTATCAGTATAAGAGATGATCAACAGAATAAAATATAAAACAAGTGGTTTATCTAGTTTATTTTCTATTGTACAAAGGCATTTAGCAAACTCTATTTCAAATTATTCTAAAAACAAAACAATACCAAAGTCACCTGAAATGTTAACAAATGACAAAACTTTTGATAGTTGTATTTGCAAGTATTAAAACATATCTCATTAGTAAAGGTTTAAAAAGTGTTCAAATTTACTCCAATTAATGAATAAAAGCAAATGCCTATTTTTTAAACTGATGATTATCTGACTTAGTTATTATCTACACAAAAGAGCAAGATTTAGTTGATTTACATTTATGCAAAATTAATTCCATGAACAAAAAACTTACTTTCCCATATTTGCTGAAGAGAGATTTAAGGTCAGTTGCTTTGGTACTTGCAGACAAACCACTAACCCAGAGGTTCCTGCTGCTAACTGGAACACGTTTTACATGTTCTAATAAAAGTAAACATAAAAAATTAAACTCTGTTTTACAGCTCATTGTAAATTCACTTTGTAATCTCAATAGTTAAAATATCCAAGTTCAAAGTATTTTGTACCTAATCAGAACTCTTATACTCAGATTCTAAGCACTTTAGAAACCTTGGGTGTTATTAACCCAAAGTGATTCAGAACAACACTGAAATAAGAATGTGTCCATTTATGCATTTATGGTGGGAATAATATTTTCTTAAGGTTAATTATTACCCTGTAAGATGGCTAACCTGCTAAATCTTAATCTAAGTTGTTGTTTTTCAAATTCAAATATTGTGTTAATTTAATTACAGATTAATGGAAATAACTACACTTATTAATGTTTGCAAAAGAATCACTCACAATATTAGAAGCAATAAAAGGTTATTATATTTAAATATTCTTTAATATTCTTGATGTCTTTTCTATTTATTTTCATTACCTTATTTATAGAGGACTTTTACTGATTAGGTAGTCATTAATTTTACAAAATAAGAAAAATTATTTGAAAAACAAAAAATGGCATCAAAATTATGTCCATTTTACTTCCTATAAAGTTTTGTGTTCTCATATTTCTTTAACGTAAAATTCATTTTATTTTACCAGCTGCTTTCCTATACTTTTTAATTTCACAAAAGATAATAACATTATTTTGTACGAGTGAACATTTACTCCAACAGATGACATTGTAGTAAGTGACATAAACCCCACCCTCTCACACAGCCAACACCCACATGTGAAATATCTAATCCACAGCATAGCTCCTAAAGCCCACCAAGTTATTATCAGATAATAAACATTGTTGGTTTTCCAATTTTAAGAGAAAAATAGAGCATCCAGCAAGATGCAAAATATTCAAAAATAGACAGCTTCAGCAATTTCATTTCTTGCGATATAAATATCAATGAGATGAGAAGAACAAGTCTCATTACTGTATTACCATAGTTTTCATTGTTACAACTACATGGGCATAATCCTGTTCAGTTCATCAGAGCAAGGTGCACAAGTTAGTATAGTTACTTTTTTTTTATATTTGTGTACTGTATATTATGATACATAATTTGTAACTAATAGTTGTGTGTGTATTAAAGGGATATTGTGTGGACACATATATGTACAAAACATCTTACCCTATGAAATGACAGAAAAAGTAAACTATTTAATAATTCATTCATATAAACTAAACTTTTACTAGGAACTATCATAGCTTGCATTTCTTCAATATAGAGCTGTGGCAATAGAGTAACAATGTCTGCTGACTACTGTAGATGTACTATTGAAGCCTTGTGGTCAAAATGCAATGCAGGTTCTCAAGAAATTAGATTCTGTGGGGCATATTTGGTGTGCAGGTGCTATATACCCTAGAGAATTTCACACTTTCACATAGTTTTGAGAAAGTACGAAACATATGATGACCAGTAGTGTTCTAGAAGCCTAACTTTCAATGAAGAAATGAGACTTTATTTTACATGTCATCATCTGAAATAAATCATACAAGACACGATGAAAGACAGGCCAGAATCTACTATATAAAGAGGAAAAGTCGTCCGTCTGTCATGTCGATATATCGGCCAATGCGGTTCCAATCAATATACAGCTTACACGAAATGACAACACTTTCTGCCATGACAAGTAAGTTTATCTTTTCAAAATTCTTACAGCCATACACACATAAAACAATACACTACTCTGGGCATATAATTAGATTTGAGAGTAGACTGATAGAGATTGTGAAGAGTAATAAAATCTAATCAGGTATACACACGACCCACTACTGGTATTGCTGGTGCACAGAAATCATAATCATTGGCTGAAACAAGGAAGACCATCCAAAGAAAAGGCCCCAAAATTCATAATCAAATAATAATTAATCATTTCCAGGGTCATACAGTTGACCAAGTAGGATTATGTCTTTGAGAATCAATTTTTTTCATGTTTCAATCTAAAAAGATTTATCATGAAGAAAATCTTAACTTAAAAATATACAATGTCAAAATGCTATAATCAGGCAATACATAAAGGAGATGACCAAATATACATAAAAAAATGTTTTTGTGAAATACTAGAAATAGTATAGTCATTCTCCATACATATATTGTTACTAGATTGTAATTAATTTTTAGAAAATTGTTCATAAAACATTTACTTAGATATAATTTTAAGAAAAAAATTAATCATTATTTCCTCATCACATGACGGGCATTCAGATTGCACAATAATAAAGATAAAGTCTTAGTGGTACAGTAATAACCAAGTGCATTAATCTGTCTCTCTATAAATATACTGCTCAATAAACTTGGCAATATTATATAACAAAAGTATGTAAAAAATTATACAAAAAACTGAACAGTGTGGCACACAACTGCATGAACATATAGTGAAGAAGTAAAAAAAAGAAAAATAAAGATTTAAAGAACAGAAAGAAATGAAAAAAGGTCTGGATGAAAATGATTAGCATTATTTATACTGACTACAACAAATTTTCAAGATGAAGTAAACAAAAATAAAAATTATGATGCACTTTTGCAAAAAAGATATTTGTATCCCTCTTTTGAGATCTTCACTTCGCAACATTAGATATGTTATGAAATTTTCTTTCACAATGATTTCACAACAGAGTAAGCAACAATTTAGGTATCCGTGAACTCGTGTATAAAACTCAGTAGATGTTGGATAACATTAATTTGTAAAAGTTCTTGTAAGAAATAGAAAACACTTTCATTGTATTGTGGACTTTATTTCCACCAGAGTAAAAAACAACACCCAACACTGGTGCTAGAAACAGGATTATTTTGACAAAAATATTATCCAGACTTATTACAAGTGAAAATTTATTATATCATTGTATATGATTTTTCCATTTGTATGTCCATACAAGAAATGACAAGTCAATTATCCAGAACATTTAATTATATTTGTAATAAGACACTACTGTTAGGGTCATTATATTTTTTAAAACTACATTATTTATTCAGTCCCTTAGGGTTTTTCAACAACATAGTACAACAGCATTTCAACAACACTGTGTTTACCATACCTACAACACTAAAGTATAGTTGAAATACTATTATACGCTCTTCATCTTGAAAAATCCTAAGGGACCAAATAAGGAACATAGTGTTAAAAAAACATAACAAACCTAATATTAATGTCTTATGACAAATATAATCAATAATAATCATGTTTCACCAGCTTAGACAAGGTATTGACATCACATACAGAATATTCTTTATATTATGAAATAAATAAACTTACACAGGACTGTTACATGTATTAAAAACTAACATACCACACAATTCTATTACAGGGTAACAAACTATTAGGAAGATTGCCATATTCAAACAGATTCCATCTGTGACCTGCCACAAATAGTACTCAATTGAGATAGGACCTTTAAAATACAATAGGGATGAGAATTTCTACACAGTTAGTTTCTTGAGGCTCTTACAAAATCCAAAAGCATCTTAACCCATGTATTCTAATATACTGAAGAACATCTGAGATTGACTAGGTATTATGTCAGGTGGAGTATCAGTCCTATTCACTGAAGAACATAGATTCTGTACTGAGTATCAGGGATAGAAATAATAAAATAAAATTACATTTACTTGAAGGAAAGCTATCAGAAAGATTACATTCCCTCATGTAAAGTTGTATTTCCTCATGAATTGTTTTTTTTTATTTAATCCATGCAATAAGTTCACATTCATTGGTCATAACTAAAACAATATGGACAGAACATGCATTCCAGATCTGGAAAGCCAACTAAAAAAAGATGAAGTTCCTCAAGCAAAGTTAAATTCCTTGGGAAAGGGGGGGGGGGAGGACGTAATATTTTGATCCCCGAGTATACTAACAGGTATGTCAGGAGCTGGAGAACATTTCTTGCCACACGTTGCAGAACACAGTGGATATGGAAGATACGTCATGATGTTAGTTAGAACCAGCATGCAGGGAAAAATTAATTTCTATATCAGCCAGAACAGTAGTGCAGTAGAGCCACACCTCATTTTGATTGACGACGATGTTTGCCTACATCAAGCAAGGATCACCACTCTTTTCCTGAAGAGGAAGCAGATGAAAGAGGATAATCAGAAGGCAAGATCTCCTGACCTGAACCCTATTGAGCATACTTGTGACATGCTACAGTAGGTGAAAAAAACTGTCCAGGTCCATTTAGTACCAGATTCTCCAAGAATGAGATCAGCTTCCACAAGAATGTGTACAGCATCTTATTAGTGGGCTATACAAGCATTGTCATAATGTCCCTGTGTCTAGAGGCACACGTACATGGTACTAATCATGTACAAACACACAGAAAGTGAATACTTAATGATTTGTTAAGGGCTTTGAATCTTCACAAAACTTATTTTGGATAGGAGAGCACTTTTCATTGTTACCAGTCTCATTAATGAATTTATAAACTTTTCTTTTGTTATGCATCATTTCCAACAGGTTATACTGCCAGTCATTCATTATGTTTGGAACATCTTTTTTGTTGGTAAATTTTGTATCCTTTGCTAAAAGTTTACTATATATATATATATATATATATATATCAAAATATACATACACACACACATTTATTATTTATAATCTGCAAGACCTATTTTAACGATCATGTTATTCCAGATGGAAGATAACACTGACAATCTTAATATGAATAAGATAATTACACATATGACAGGGAAAATATCAATAAAATGTAGCAACTATCTCAGTAGTCACTATACACCATTTACAAAATTCATAACTTTTAAACTTAAGTTTCAGTCTTGCTGTTATTAAAGAGCTGTAGTAAAGACACATGTTCAAGAACATTTAAACAAACATTTTCAAAATACTTCATTCTTGCACTACAACAAGTAATAAATACAGATAATATCCTGTGCTGCTTCATACCTTTATCATCTTTTGATATAGTTTTTCCATGTTTATCTGGAACACTAAAAAACAAAAATCAAATATTTAGAAGAAAAAAACAACTTTCAAAAAACAAAGCAACCATGTCAACTAAACTCCCTTTAAAATCTAATGAAATTATTTAATGAAATTTTAAATACAATATCCTGAAAATCATACTGAATATAAAATAAAGTTAGATCCTATTCACTTTCTTCAGTATTGTTTATAAATCATTAACTTTAAGAACAAATTTAAGTTCCCCTATTGATATATTTAAAAGCTACTAATAAATATTCCAAAAGTATTATTATTATTAAATTTCTATAACAAATTTGGACTCTCGAATACCACCCATAAGCTCCAGAATGTGTAAGACAGCTTTTCCTTCCACTAATATTTCAGTTTTTGGAAGACAACCTATAGACACAACAAAATGGAGCAAGAAATTCATTCTCAACCTTCAAGTTTGTTTACCGAAGAACAAACAAACCTCTTGGCAGCAGCAGAGGTGGTAGTGCTTTTTCCTGTTGTACTGCCTTCTTTGGTTGTCTTTGCATCAATTTTCCCTTTAGTTTCTTCAGTGGTCTCCTTTTCCATCATCTCCTTTTCATGTTTCTCCTTCCCACCATCATCTTCTGGCTTGCTCTCTTTATGGACATTCTTCTTGGGTTCAACATCAGTAGATGTCTCTTCTTGCTCACTTCCTTTTTCCTTTTCAGCTGTAACCACAGAAACTACTTCAGATGCTACTGGCTCTTCTTCTTCCTCCACCTTTGTTTTATCAACTTTTGTCTCATCACCTGAAAGAGTTTGGTTACTGTTCTGCAACTGAACATTACCCGATTTGCTCACTGTGCACTCTTCTTTGCCATCCAAGTTGTTTTCTGTGTTGTCTTCACTGATGGCCAAAGATACATTATCAGAAGACTTATGGTCTGTGTTGTTAAGCAAAATGATATCAACAGTCAGAGGTTTTACTTCTGGTGTGGTCTCTGGCCCTAGATGAGAAAGCTGCAGATTGTCATTGGTTCCAGACGTTTTTGAAGAAGCATCCTCTTTGGAGCTTGATTCACTGCTACTTTTCTGATTGCCCTGGGCTTGAATTTCTTCCTCATCTGTTTTAGATATGCTTTCTTCCTCCTGAACTACTTCTGTGGTCATTTCTGTTGTTAATAAAATTCAAAATGGATCAGAAGATCACAAATTTCCAAGTGTTAAACATCACGAAAATCTCCCACGGCACAGGCCTTACATGTTTAAAAATCTAAGGATATAAGAGAAGCCAGAAAACTGGCAGAACCAAAGCATTGCCTGATGCTTTGACATCGAGGATTAACATAATAGTTGAGCTAATACCATGGTTCCCACGCCTTGGGCAGAATCACATTCCCCAGATCTTTTCCTGACCAAAATATGTTATCCCATGACAATTTTAACTATGCTAGTAATGCATCACTAAATTATAATATGTGAAATTGCAAAACATTGTTCATGTTTTGTTTAATAAACACAAGACAAGCTTATGTTAACAGTCACAGTTTTCTTAAATTTTATCTTGCAAAATTTCAATGAGATCAGTCGCATCATTCCTGAATTATTGATACTTTATTAGAACATACATAAAGGCAATTTATTTGTTTATGATACAGTTATCCCTTGTCATACACGGTTTTGAATATTCATGGTAGCCGCAGTCCACCCCTAAAACTAATGCAATGCTTGCACTGTGCCTCCCACGCTCTCACAGCATGCACCACAGCATCAAACACCTTCTCAGTCATTATTCAACCAGTGTTTCTATGCAGACCCTCTCATGTAACCTCTGCCTGCTTCCTTGCCTCCTTATCTGTGAGCTGTCCAGATGACCCTCCAGAGGAACACTAATCCACCATACCAAAAACATCATCACCTTCATCTTCGTCATCAACTTCAAAGCCACCGTCAATATAATCGCTATCTTCTACATCATAATTATTAAAGGCAAGTTAAGTAAAAGGATTTTAGTTTATGATACATTTATTTTACATTACTGTACTATATTTCTTTACTCGTTGTTTTAGTGTGTATTACTGTACATTTCATTATAAATTGTGGTTACTGGAATACTGTATTTTTGTGTGTTAACAACCTATATGTATAATCTTTTACCAATGATATTCGCGGTTTAAGCATTTGGTCAATTTCTAGAACCTATCCCCTGTGAATGGCAAGGGATAACTGTCTTACAGACTGATAACTTTATAATTTTAATTTAAATAACAAAACTGTTATTACAGCATAAGTAACACTACAGATTTTAGCTTTTGTGATTATTACATTTTGACTTTTAGTACATGGAAGGAACATGTCTACTGTTGTAAAATAAAATATTCTTTAACAAGTATGTTTCCCATATTTCAAATATCTATTAAAGTAATATTTTCTGATGTGTGCATATGCACAAAAATGTTCAAAACTTTCAGGTGCTAACCATACACATACCCGATATCTACAAACAATTATACGTTAAATAAATCAGCAACTGATTCTAAGCACACAATATTATTTCTGCACATGCTTTGAAGATGTTCACATCAAATTCAACTGTATCAAGAGTATTGAAATCATTGAATTACCATGACATTATATATCTTAATCAACTGATCACATTACTGAAAATATTTACAGGTTTATGCAAATTTTGTTCCTTTAGATGAGATTGCCAGATTATATTTAAAAAAAAACTAGGTTATAAATTCTAATTACACATACAAGACACTTCACATATGGAACCAGACCTGCTGATGAAACATCCACAACATATATAATTGCATTATACACTGTCACGACATACAATCATACTGGCAGAGACACGAATGTTACTGTATGCAAACATGTTCATCATCAACAGTGATATCACATTACAGTACAACACCACTCAAGTGTCAAGTTTTTAATTTTTTTACATAATGTTGCTTATCATGTTAAATAAAAATTGCCACTAAATAACACTTGCTAAAAGTACTTGGATTATTTTTATTCTGGGATGGTCCTTAGATTTAGATACGGTGGTAAACACTAACAAACCCATACTTGACCACGCTAGTACTATACCCTTTCCTCATTAATTAATATCTCTTATCTCAAGAGCATACCATGGTTTGAAAGTTCACAGTTTGAAAACTATTAATCCAATTTTATCCAGCTGTGCATTCTCATTTTTACCTTCAATCTTTATTCTTTCTTGCCCTTAGCAACTTGTTTGTAGCTTGATGAAAAGCTCCTTTTCCTAGTATGTTACTCAAATATTCATTGCATTATAGATTATTATGTAAAAATAATCTATTCAGTTATTTGCTGGCACAAGTTCAACTGTTTCTACAAAGATTCATGGATAATAAATAGTGCTATATTCTCAAAAACCCATATTAGTTACTGTCAATGAAGCAATTCTACATTTCAATATTATTTTAATTTTTGATTTTATTTTTCCAAAACTTATTATATCTAAGTTACTGATATAACACAACTGCTATCTATATTTGCTTAACTGTCACTGGTGATATTCTACTTGTCTCTTGGTCATATTGCATGTAAATGACATATTTCAAATCTATTTTACACAAATATGTCAATGACACAATATACCCAGGGTATTACATGTTCCTTCTATGACTACTGTCACTGGGGCTGCGTTATTAATACAATAAAATATGTAAGATCAAAATAACTTAATTAATGGAAACAACCTAACTGAGTAATAATTAACCTTTATATGGTGTTTTTAGCACTAATGTGCTAAAAGCATCACTTAACCCTTTCACTGTGACTGGGACGTATCCTACTGCACTGGGAAATATACATCCCAGTGGCAGTGAATGGTTTAATCAAATGAAATTTACCAATTCTTTCTGGTTTTTGTCTGTCAAATGAAATTCCCTGATGTTTTTTCGGGCCAGGAACAAAACATAAAATTCACAGACTTTTCCCGGTTTCCCTGACCCGTGGGAACCATGTAATACCCAACAGAACAATGAAAAAAATTTATGCATTTATGTTTTACATACCCTCAGAGGTGGACAATTGCAAAATCAGACATTCTTAAGTCATAATATTTCACTTTCAGATATAATAAACATTGCATAAAGAGCCCTTTTTAATTTCAGTTTTGATTTACTTTAATAATAAATATTCTAGTGGTAACAAAATTGCCAAAAAAAAAGATTAAATAATGTTACAACTAGCTGAAGTGAAATAGCCTCTAACTAAGAACTAAGCAGTTTGGATAAGACCACTTTATATCTATTTTTATGTCTGGCATAATGTTTTCTTCTGTCAGTTTTATTGAATTCCAAATGTGAGAAAAGCTAAAAATAATAGTTTGGACTGACAAAACTAAAAACCATTAGCCATATCATCTATAAAATTATTACCATTAAATAAATAAACATCAAACTGACTATTAGGTTATCAAATTTTGTGTCCACATTTAATGTGAATAACCAGCCTTATCAGTTAGTTGGCCATCAAAAACCGAGGTAATACTTACTTTATAAATTCATCAAACATTAAATATAAATTTTACTATTATTCTTAAAGAAAACATTTTTAGAAGCTTGGAGACTTATGCCTGTACACCTGTTTATATGTCTAATTAGCATATACTGGTCCTTTATTTTGCATTTCACATCACTTTTTCATTTGGACTTTTAAAGTGTGCATTAAAAACAAAATGATTTTGCTTAACCTTGTGGATACGGGTAGGGGATTCAAAGTGCACATGCAAGATCTTTTACAGTTACATTCAAAATTTAATTAAACAGCTTTATTATAAATTTATGTCACTAAACTCTGCATCAAAAACCTAGATTATAATTCAAATTTTGATACTTAAGTTCTAACCAATTGACTGCTGATTCACCGTATATGGTATGGTCCACTCTAGCAGTTGAATGCCAGTATATTGTATGGCTCATAAAAATTCTGTGCATGTTTAACTTTTTCACAATACGCTTGTGCAATTTGCTGACATCAAGTTGTGAATTTCACTTGTACAACAATACATGTGGTAATTCTGAAATTTCTTAGCATATCCTCTCAAAAACTGGTACATTTTGTTAAAGATCATAAGTATCTTTTACACAAACAATTAGTTTTATAATTAAATATTTTTATTAAAAAAATGTTATTTTTCTATTGTAGTTACTTGCATTTAAACTATTAACAAATTGAATGCAAGGTGATTTTAATTTTAAGTATAAAAATACTTTTCTTCGTCTTATAGTTTTCATATTTCATTTGCATAATTTCTAGAACCTCTTAAAAGGATATCAAAAGCTTTTAAGGTAAATATTTACGTTTTATTTAATTATTTCTTTTTACCATTGATATTAAAGATGTTTAATTAAGTTCTGAATGTAACAGTGACTAGCAGAGAAAAGTGTTTAAAGGGACTATTGTTGCAAAAGGGTTAATTTCTTAACTTTAAATATGTAAAATTCTCAATTTGCAATTCTAAGTAACATGATTTAGTAGCACAATGAATTGTCATTTATTTTTTTTTTCAAGTGCTTCAGATCACTCACCTAATCAGAAACAAATTCTAAAAATAATGACAAGTTAGAATATAGATTTTCAGTCTTATCTTCTTGCTTTATTGAGATATCACATTGACACACCCCTCCTATATCCTCTTGTCTTTTAAGTAGTGTTTGTTTTAATTTTGCGCAAAGCTACATGAGGGCTATCTGCGCTAGCCGTCCCTAATTTAGCAGTGTAAGACTAGAGGGAAGGCAGCTAGTCATCACCACCCACCGCGAACTCTTGGGCTACTCTTTTACCAACGAATAGTGGGATTAACAGTCACATTATAATGCCCCCACGGCTGAAAGGGCGAGCATATTTGGTGGGTTTAAGTAGTGTCTGTAATTCTCTCTGACATCGGAATTAGTAATGTTAATAACCAACAGAAACAGCAAATTGTAAACTACAAAGTCATACAATTATCTTTTTCATCTGAGCCATAAAGTTAATAATTTTATGTCAGAGTTTGACAGGCTTGGACTGAAGAAAATATTTCGAAAAGTAATGAAATTTTTTCCACCTATTTATAGGTTAGTTAGAAAGCCAAATAATCATAATAGTTTCTGCATAACCTAATGTAAAGAGTAATATGTTTTTTGGACTACAAACATAGAAGGAATAAATAGGGTTACAAAAGAGTGCATGCTGATTTAAAGCTAAGTTCTAAATTTCTTTTTTTTATGTATAATTATTTATTGTACTTTATTTTAAACAAAAGTAACTCAAATGTTAAAAAATGAAATCAAAATTTTTCTCACAAGCACTTCTAGAAGAACAAACGACGAAGTTAGACGTTCGTAATGTAACCTGAATTTTTTTTTACCTTAAACTCTCTGCACTTAAGCTGGGGGATTTATTTCTTGTTGCAGTTGTTAGATGTGGCTCAAAATTATAAGGCCTAAATCTCTTAACATAAATAATTGTAATTGTATGTTAATAGGTGCAGTTATTCTAGAAAAAAATATCTTTCTGATTTTATTTCATATTTTTCTGTTTTCACTACAGTTAATGTTAGGGTAGAAAAAATAAGATATAGTATAAAGTTTTACTGATAAAAATATGATATTCATTTAGGAGGTTCTAGAGGTTATGCAAATTATATATAAAGAAATATTTTTATTTTTAACATAAAAATCACCTTTCACTCAAGCTGACTCAGTAAAGGCTTCATAAATTCACAGACAGATCTTTAATACGATAATTTATCAAAAAAAGTGATTTTTTTTGTACAACAGACTTGTCATTTTTACTAATAGATTAACAAATTTCATAAAAACACATGTGGTACATTCAGAGTTAAAGTATATAATTTATTTATTACAAAGTCAGATAAAATGACCAAGCCCATAAACAAAGAGTTAATTGAAGGGAGAGCATAATCAAAACTTTTACTACGTACAAAACCAGTAAACCCTTTTAAGAATTTTATTTAATGGCTTCATGTTGTTTAGCCCTAGTTCCAAACATGAACTTCTGATGAAAAAATACAATGTGTTATGTTTACAGAAACAAAAGTGGAAATATTGTTTCTACTATCATTGAACACGTATTTAAGCTATAAACAGTCAGAGCAAACCATTCTTTCATTTTTCATTCTTAACATGTTAATCTCAGAATAGCAACTGCCAATTCAAACTTTTGATTCATATCCTGAGATGTGCACATCTGTATATACCTTATTGGATTAAACAAATTCTGTAATGAGTAGTAGTTTGGAAAACAACAATGTCCCTACAATACTTAAAAAAGTTGAGCATTCCAACTTTTATAGATTAGGCCCAAAATGGATTAATTGTTTATAGTAAAATTGTCCACCCCTGACCTGTAAAAATTTTACTCAGCAACTGATGGACTATGATAATGTAAACTACAATAAAAATAAAATATTTATTTATGGTTTAAAATTCTTATAAAATATATACTAAAAGCTTGGTGTAAAAAAGAAAAGGGGGGGGGGTAGTCTCTCATGAAATTTTATTTATCAGTTACCAGGAATCAAAAAGCTAGCATAATACAGGCCTCCCACCAGATCCAAGGCAAAACATGGGTTACATACAGGGGGGAATATAGTCAAAAAATAGGTCAAATAAAGGTAATGTTACTTGAAAAAAAAAAAAAAGACAACAAAATGAGAAAACTTACCTGTAGTATACAGAAGTTCCTGTAATTAATAATGTCTGGACACCTTACTCAGTCATGTATTCACATGGCAAAAGATTTCTATTCTCATGGGCACAGTAGAAGAATGCTGGCAGGACGATGATATAGGCATAAATTTGGATAACTTAAAACATGTGTATGTACCAACTTACACTTGTAACTCTACCAAACCAGTCTCAACTGACATAAAACCTTTAAGGAACACTAACCAGTTTAATTTCAGACGTACTAGTAAATTTCACCAGATATAACCTACTATTACTCATAACAACTAATAGAAAGTATGATGAAACTTTGTAGAGTGGACAGCAACTGCCTGCTGTAGAGTGAAAAGTAGAGGACTTCATCTTCAGGTCAGTGCGTGTAAGGAAGGTGTTGTTGGTCATTATAGTATTTTGATGAATTGTGGAGAGCGTGTTATGATTGGTTGGTTTATCCCTGTTTCTGATTGGAGGTGAGATTTCCCTTAGATTCAACCAATGGTAGCAACAGGTTACTCACCTCTAATCTGGAATCTCCATTTAGTGAAGGTTTAATTGTATTAATATAAAATGATTATTAAATTTTTTGTCAATGATGTAGTTTTTTTCCCAGTTTATTTTGTGTCCACAATGATTGAATTTGTGTTTTCACGGGTCTTGAACTGTCTTTATGTTCTTTTAGTCTTGTCGCGAGTCTTCTTTCCATTTCTCTAATGTAGGATTAGAAAGTAGTAATAAAATATATCGTTGTAAATACACGAGTTAAAGATATACAAACACGATGTGCTACACAACTTTCATGACTCATCACTTGTTGATGAGCTAAAGGAGAACACAAAATGTCCATTTTTAATGTAAGTGTAAGAAACAGCTAAAACGTATGAAAGGACATTCAAAACTTTCTCCGACATTATTCAAGACATATTTTATAACTTTGTTTATATGGAATTTGAAGTATTCTCAGTTTAATGAACTTTCTGACTAATGTTCAAGTATGTAAATTTCATATTGAAATTGTTTCAGCTTTACAATGAAGATCTTGAAACGAAAAATAGTTTCAGACTCAAAGTTGAATTGAACCTGAACAATCTCTTTTGCATACCCCTACTGACTATTCCTTCACCGGAATAACATGGGTTTACCCTTTTATTAGGAATTTAGATTAGTGTTAAGTAACTGCATTTATCCTTCATTTGGGCCCCAACTGATCTGTTATCCAATGATAAGCCAACATATACTTTCTTCATGTTCTGCCAGCACCTTCTGACTTCATGCCTGTAGATCTGGAATGTAAGCTTAAAACCACTTAATATTTCAACAAAAATAAGCCTTTGAAAAAAAAAAGTACATTTTGTGCTTAATGTAATAATTTCTAAGTGTGAAACTGTGAAATTTAGTGTCATAAGAAGCATTGCCACATGAACTATAGTATCTTTTATCATAAAAAAATGTTTGGCAATAACATATGGAAGGAAATATCAATTGCAGAAATTTAAAGGAAAAATAAACAATTTTAGGCCAAAATATGGGACTGGTGGGAGGACTGATAATAAGGTACAATAACTTGGCTACCATTATAAAACAAGATGAAAGAAATGAAACAGGAAAGTATAAAGCAGCAATAATCACATCTCCAGATTTAGTTTTATAAATTTCAGAGATCCAGGCATAACTGTCGGTTCTTGATATTGTAGATGGTCAACCTCTTGCTTCCTTTGTCCGAAACACACATGAATCTCAAAACTCAAGGATGTCTTGCTTGTTTCTTTTATTCACACAAAAGAAATGAGCTTCTGAGTGAAATTCTTTCAGGATCAAGAAAAGATCTGCCATTTTCAGGTTATTTAGAGCAAAAGAGGATCTTTCAGTAAGTGGTCATATGTATTCAGGATGATGTAAAACAAACCACATGTGCAAGAAACTTCACACAATCACTATCTTGCATTACCTTTAGTTTCTAAGAATAACATCACCACTAGGAATATGAATAAAAACTTTTTAATGAAAGAAAATGTTCAATAGCACCTAAAATTAAAAATTTATTTTTTTTTGCTTTTATAACTAATAAAAGAGAAATTCTCCAAAAATGTTTTTACATAATGAAAAATAAAAAGTAAACAAAAAACTAGCAATAAAGGAGACATCTTACCTCTGGATTTTACATCCATGCTGTTTTCATCCTGGATGAAGAAAAAATGAAGAACAAACATGAGAAAGGCTTAAGTAAAAAATGGCTTGATCATCTTCATATTTGAAATGTTTGTTTGTTATGGATCTTGCGCAAAGCTACACGAGGGCTATCTGCACTAGCCGTCCCTAATTTAGCAGTGTAAGACTAAAAGGAAAGCAGCCAGTCATCACCACCTACCGTCAACTCTTGGACTACTCTTTTACAAACAAATAGTGGGATTGACCGTCACATTATAACACCCCCATGGCTGAAAGGGTGAGCATATTTGATATAACAGGGATTCAAACCCACGACCCTCAAATTGCAAGTCGAGTGCTCTAACCACCTGGCCATGCCAGGCCTATTTGAAATGAATAAACAACCTTCACCAATATAAAAAAGCTGTACATTTTTCTATCAAATTTGTAAAATAATACAAGCTTATAATATATACATTATCCAGTTAATATTTTAAAAAACCCTAAAGCTATTAAAATACTTCCAAACTTCCTCAGAGAAAAATATCACACTCCAGCAGGGTTCGATTTTATCAGAGATTGTACGGGAGGCTGTATTGGTTGTCCAACAGCAAAAAATCTAATTACAAAAAATTTTGATGTTTTTATATCTTAATTATTTTCAAAAAGTACAATTAATATTTAAATGGAAATTTTGCATCTTCATTCAAATAATTTTTGACACTTTATTTTCCAGGAAGTTTTGTTACATTGTAAAAAATAAGCCCAAACCATGCTTATGCTACATAGTATCTTAAGGAAACACACGGTCAATAGCCTGTAAAACTTTTAAGCTGAACAATGATCTTGGCCTGCCCATAAAGTACAGCCTGTAGTAAGACTAGACTTTCATCGGAACTCACACATACTACAATACCATAATGCATACACAATGCTTGAGCCATGCACGTGTACACACAGCTAGCCTTATTTCATTTATTGTTATTCTGTTTCATACTGATAAAAACTTTCATAAAATTTTGTTTGTAGTTATTATTATTATTATGTTCTGTTTAATTTGTGGATTTTCCCACTTTTCTCATGGTAGCTAGGTCTTCCGTATTTTCTAGACTGGATTGGTCATGTCTGTCAAACGTTAGCCTTAGGCCTATATGTGCATAATTGAAGGGGTGGATGGGTCAGTGTTTCAACTGTGATGATTAACAATGATTGGATTTTGTAAATTTTATCGATTTAGTTCCTACCAAAGGTTTATAAGTAAAAAGATGAGATAGCCATTATAGAAATAAATCTCACTAAATATTAGTGTTATCGGCGTAAATTTTGTTACGATTTCCCACACATCACACAATACAATGTATGGTAATAGTTTCATTTTGAGTTTATTTATTGATTAAGTGTGTATATGTCTATATGTAATATATATATATATATACACACACACACACACTACTTAATTTTTTTACATTGGTTGAATGTTGATTTAAATACTAAACATTTTTTTACATTAAAACTTGTGTACTTTAGAATGATCACACCAGTGATTGAAACATAGTGCCTGTTTTAAAAATAGATCTTAATTACTGTAAAACCTGTAACTTGTATGAAAAGAAGTGTGGTAATGTAACTAACTGAACTATGTACACTTTACTGTGTTACCATACATGGCTGTTCACAATCAATTGTACTTCATACAAAATTTATGACAGATTGTCCAAGATAGAAAGTTTAGTGACTAAAACAGCATTATTAGCCAATCACAAAAGCAAACTTTTTCTAATGTTTTTATCCCCCTTCTGGTGGCTTGTACCAGCATTTCTCTTGTACACAGTACAATCTTTTTTAAACAAAAAATGGATAAAAAGAAATTTTTGTGATGATTCAAATTTTTGAGTTTGTACTTAGGGAATTTACCGATGATTTTGGTCAAGGATTTGAATTAACATTACGTGTTTAGTGTGGGCATGGATAAATGTACAGTAGACTATGATGCTGTTTTGAATAAGAGTCTATTCTAGGGCACTAGTCATTCGTTGGACAACAAGGGCTTTAAGTTGGTCATCTGAAGAAGTTTTTAGTCATCTCAGACAATCATTAAAATCGAGTTCTGCTTCAGCACACAACTGGGGTCGGATTCTACACTAAATGAAAACTCATGTACAGACATTCTTTGGGATCAACATAAATACAGAAACATGTCAATTACATAACAACAACAGACTACTGTATAGTGATGTGCGGGGTTTCAGAGAAATCAAAGCTATAATTCTCTGTAAAAACATCTTAAACATGGACTGGAAGATATGCATGATAAATTTCACTTTGGTGTACTTTTTTTTTCTAGACATTTATTTATATGCGAATGAAGAAAAAAAACATTACATGAAGAGGCATGAAAACAGATCATTAACCTTACAATTAATAACTAAGTATGCTACAAAGGTTGTTTTCTTTCTTACTATGCATCAAACATATTTTAGCTGATAAAAAAAGTAGCAAGATAATAATAGGAGAGGGTGATTAACATCCACTGAAAACTGATGAAACAAAATGTGAAATAAAACATCCCTCAATCTGCTTTTCTCATAGCCTTCCTTCAATAAATTATTTCATTGCAAAATAGTTGGGAAAAGCATGGATGCACCATTAATAAAATCTTAACACACAGTGCAACACTAACCTCAAATTTATCTTCATCTTCAACAGATAACTCTAGTGCATCTTCACCAGCATCTGCATTTTCCTACAAAAATAATTAAATAACCTAAACTTGCAAAGTTATACTGCTCACCAGCATGAAATTCATGGACTAAGTTTTTTACTTGTAATATGCATGAAGCATTTTTTTTTCAGAGGTACCCATTTAACACCATGAATATAGGCTCTGTCAATATGACAGACCTTGTAATGCACATCACAACCTTTTTTAGGATTGCTTTCAAATTTAATTATCAACATGTCAATACATTTGGCATTAAAATGTAGTTTATAAGTCAAATTTTAATATTATCTCAGTATTAATTTCTTAATTTCAAAATTAAATATTAAAAGATTTTAAACGTTTACTGTTCTGTCCTGCAACACACTTGTCCTCTGATCTCTCTTATTTAGATTTTATAGCTCCAACAATAAATCTTCTATGGTGCTTAACCAATTAAAAACACAAAGTACACATGTATACAAGGAAAAATAAAAAATCTGAACCTCCTACATTTTTTATTTGTTGATATATCAATAAATTTGTAAAATACACCAGAGGAGCACCTCCCAACTTTTCGTGAATTTCAAACAAATTATTCACTCATGCCTACTTGTACTCCTCTCTTAAGTCTAATGTTCATTTGTTTAGTTTTAGCAGGCAAGCAGTGGTTTACAAGATAAACCTTACATGTTTGGAGTAAAGTAATTGCTCCTATTTATAACTTAAAAAGCCAGATAAATTAATGTTAGGGCATTTTTTTCTCCTGAAGCACAGGCAACAGAACAAGTAGGAAGGTGCCCTGTTTACTGGGAAACAGAGACCTGTGTATAATTATCATGGAAAGTCAATGTTTCACTTTTGAATTCAATAGTCGTGGTTAAACTCCTTTCTGTGCATATCAAAAGATTTTACTGAGTTTCATTCAAAATTTAATTGACCACTTTACTATCAATGTATTTTAATGAAACTATTATTATCATGTACATTATAATTCAAAGTTGTTTATTATCTAAGCTTTAATTCCTTTATTTCAAAAGAAACCTTCCAGTTGTGTTGTCACATGACACACAAGCATTCACAGATCTTAACTTTCTGTCACTATTGCTTGAACAGCAGCACATGTACAGTATATGGATATGTCTAGACTGAATTCTACTCCTACAGTGATATTTACCCTTCCAAGTTTCAAGTTCATTTGGTCAATTCAGGAGAACATGAGAAATACATATTCTTACCCCCTGACAGTAGCCATGCCCACTTTCTATATTTAAGACTTGAGATTTACAAGCCACATGTACTTATGTGATGTACATGTTTATAACTAATAGAAAGAGCTAATTTTATACTACAATCTCTCAATTATTAAGTAAAAACTGGCATGTAGTATTCCTTAACCCTATGAATACCGGCTACTAATTTTTTTAGTAGGTAATGTTGTTCTCATCATATTTCATTCCAAAAATAAAACTAGTGGATAAATTGTTTAAAAATTGACAAGAACATTCCTAAAATAATGTAGTTCAGAAAAACAAAGCATTTAATTCTGGTTTTTCTACCATTTCTAATAATTTTTTTATTTAACATAATCACTTGCACTCGGACTCTGAATAGTTCACCTGCAAGATGAATTTTATATGAAGTATAAAAATACTATTTTTTATCTTGCAGTTTTTACGTTTCATTAGTATAATCTCTAAAACCTCAAATTAATATCAAAAGTTTTCAAGGTAAATATTTATATTTTATTTTTGTTTTTCTCTACTATATCACTAACTATCTATTATCATCAACAGACAGTGCAATAAAGTGTTTAAGATTAACAAATAGAAATATGTACTTACCTATCTTCGCAGAAATCCACTAGAAAAGTGGTATTTTTCTTATATGCACAATTTCACTTCTATATCTTTTCACTTATAGTTTATTTTTAATTTTCCTTTCAAATTCTTTGTCTACTATCCTTTATGCCCATACTTTAACTGCTGCCCATGGGGCTTTACAAAAGTATTTCAGCAGACTCTCAATAGAGAGACTGCCAAAACATCATATAACCATCTTGCATATAACCTTTCCTAATCCCGGCGACAAGTTAAACTGTTCAAATATGATTTTTAAAACATACTTTTATATTTTAGTTAATTATATAAGACCTAAACACAACTGTCTAACTATAACATATTTAGGTAAGAAACTACCGTACATGCTATAGTTGATCAAGCGGACAACAACATGAATGGCAGTTACATGTACACCATAAGGAAAACTGTGTGCCAATTTCAAATTAACCCTTGGTAGAGTATAGTGTAAACTGAGCTCTTTCTAATAACTATATACACTTGTGTCAACTAACTACATATACATTGTAGATCTCAAGGCAAAGTATAGAAGATGGACATGACAACTGTCAAGGATTGGAAAATTTATTTCTCTTTCCCAGTGAATACAGTTGTAAAACTTTAGATATCACATGTCAATTAGGTCAAACACATATAGTTAGCGTGTAGATACTCCTGTACATTGCCAGTGCATGTGGCTAAAACTGAACTGCTGCTTAAGTCGAGATTTTTCAAAGTACATGGATCATGTGACACAAAAGTGCAGTTCAAATATTTTGCTTGAACGACACCTGATGAATCTTCAAAAATTCAGAATTATTTCCAAGTTCCTGGCTGTCAAATGAGACATAGCCCCAGGAATAACTGTATATCGTACATTAAAAAACTAAAACAATTATGGACTTCAAGAGGCTTACTTTTTCATTTTCAGAAGCTTGTTTATCATCATCTTCACCATTGTCTTCTTGTTCTTCAGGATTAATCTCAACCCCTGTTTCATTCGGTTTTCCTTTACAGAAATTCAAAAATAATAAAAAAATGTTTTCACTGTCAAAGTTTGCATTCCATATGTGCAATTTTTTTCTTGAAAAGTACACATCCTTTAGCTGAACTTGTATGTTTCTCTATGTCCATCTCTTGTGTTCAACTATTTCAGTCTCCATAGAAGGAAATATTCTTTAAGTATACCAAAACACTAAAAATGTTTCTAACAGTAATCCAAATAATCAATTTTCTGGCTTCAGAAGAAGCAGAAAGTATTTTATTGGTAGCTCATCCATTTTACCTTTTTAATCTTTAAAAAATATCATAACAATTTCACAAGTAGTAAATTTTCAGAAAAATAACTAGTATGAATATTCACTCCTTTACATCAAAACTAAGAGCATTATCATCTTAAATTTTTAAAAAAAATGTCATAAAACTGAACAATTTTAAAGGATTTCTAGTGAAAAACTACTGAAAAAAACTCAAATTAAAAGTTTAATACATCATTCATTTTACTGAAAACTTACTACAGAGGACTTAAGTTACTATTATTTCATTTATTTAATTTATGAAAAAAAAAAAATTGTATGTCATCTGACAATCTTTGACATAAAGCATAGATTTTGTGCTCTAGTTACCAGCAAGAAAGTGTATCAATGTCATATTTCTATTTGGAAAATGCAAACCTTTACCAGTGACATGGACATGAAACTAAAGTAGGCTTTTACATACACATAAACAATGCATGGTACCTGGAAATTTAGCATACTGAACTTAGAATTTATCTTTAAGAATGAAAAAAGCAAATCTTTATATATAGGTTTTTAAGGAAATAAACAATATTTCATATTCCTTGTTTAGTGGGAACAAATATTTCAATAAAAACACATATTCAGCTAAACTGACTCAAAGTACACAAGTTAAAAAAAATACAGAAATTATTTAAGGAGAGGAACAGTGAAAGCAAAGATGTCAAGACATCAACAAAAACTTCTGTCATATAATGTTAGTTCAAGTTCGGAAAAAAATTTGCTTGATGGACCCAAACATAATGAAATTAAGATGTCTAACTTCATCATTTCCAACAGCTACAGATAAAAGTCTCATTAGAATTTAATTTACACCAATTTTCAATGTTACCTAAAAAAAAAATTTAAAATACTTAAGTCTTGACAGAAATAGATGCCAGCTGTATTCATAAGTTTCATAAAGTTTGAGAATAAAATATACATAAGGTGATTATACAATTAGAGCAACTTTAAATGGATTTCTTTATTATTGCACATACCAAAGGGTACATTACAGAAAAAATTATGTGGTGGCATAAATAATTATGTCTTAAATTAAAAGAATACTCCTGGTTTTAACCTTGTCTATGTGTAAAAATTAAATTTTTCTAAAGTTGTTTTTTTTAAAAAAAGGAATATCACTATTAATAAACACTAACTTCTTTTTGTTATGCACATGCTGGCACAATGCAATATCTGTAACAAAAATGTTACCAGTTTAAATACCACCTACTCTCATGTACATAGTTCAAAGCTAAATCTTTTTGTTTGGTTCTATGCTCAATCCATAGAAATAAATTTTATTATTTTATAACTAACAAACTGGTAAGCATGTTCTATACACAGTTAGCTTGTGATGATTGAAAAATAAATATCTCTCTTTAGTTTAAAATTTTAACTTGGTGTCCAATACATAATTAAGAGAAAAATAAAATAAACCCATTACAAATATCAAATAAATTGATTCCAATAATATGCAAGATAAAACCTGACAGAGAAAGATCCCTTTATTTCCTCCTTTTCTAGCACAGTTTTTGTGTTCTTTTGCCATACTACAACCATTCAGCCTAAAATAAATATTCATTTAGTGATTGTTAGTTTATTTAACTCATAATTTACAACTTCAAAATGGTACCAGATGAATGTAGTAGTGTAAATTAACTGTAAAGTGCTAGTCACCAAAGCAACTAGGAAAAGCTAATGAAAAATGAAACAGTTTACTTACTAGCTGACCGTTTGGCAGGAGTAACTTTCTTAGCTGGGATTCCTTCTGAAGTCACTTCAAAAAGGTAAGTCTCTGGGTCATGACCTTCCTCCTGCAATGCCTAAAATATTATAAAGTATAAAGTGTCTTTAATAGTAGTTATCTTGCATTCACAACGATTAGTTGCACATTTTATATTTTTCTCCAATCAAGAATAACTATAAAATAGTTAATATATGCTTCCTTCTTAAATCAGCTTTTAGACTGAAAAATCAGTTGGGCAACTGCCAAGATATCACACAGTTAACATCACTAGTGACAATAAAATTAAAAAAAAGGATCACTGATTTTTTTTGTCTTGTAACTTTATTGAATGTATTTAAGGCTTAATAACAGTATCTTGTTGATATCTGGTTCTTTGTTTTCTCTCAATACAGGCTTGGTCAATTTGACCAACCACATGACCTCTTTGTACTCCTTTAAAGTCTTTATAGATTTAATGCTTCTAACTTTTAATGTAGTGTGTACATCTTCACAAAATTTGGCAGTCTTTCACATACAAAAAAATCATATTTTTTTAGTGAAGTGTTTTTAATAAAATAAAGATCTGTCCATGAATATATTGAGTATTTGTTTTGAATAGTCTGTATGCAAAGTAATTTTTATGTTAAAATTAAAAATACTCTTCCTCAGCTCAAAAATCTTAAATTTCTTTTGTGTAATTCCCAAACCATCCTAAATGCATTTCAAACGTTTTTTTTCAGTAAAACTTTGTAGTTTATCTGTTATCTTCTCTACCAAATCTCAAAATGGAATTAGTCAATTCCACTGACCTCGTACAAAAAAACAAAAAATAATTCTAAATTACCCTTTTTTCTTTCTAGAATGACTTCAAATTGTAACGTGAAACTATATTCATTTATCCTCAGTAGCTCTAAGTTTGTAACAGTATACTTCTATTTAAATTAAATTTTATTGTTTTATTGCTCTTTAAACTGTGCAACTACTATCAGCACCATTATAAGTTGTAAATCACATGGAGAACATTCAGCTCACTTTACGCTAATGAATTACATTACCCACGAGCTGCCTACATGTGTGCCTCGTGAAACATTCTTATTATAATATTATTTATTTTACCTAATCTAATCTTAACTAACCTAAACAGATCCCTACATTTTACTTACTTTTATAATTAGACATAAAGAATAAACATAAAAAAACAAATAAAATACTTGACCAATCTTCTTTTATTCTTGCTGTCGTTTGTCAAAGAGAGTTAACCATATTTTTTTATACTAATCAAAGTAATGCACTTAACAATTTTTACTTAATTAACCCTATCGCTACAGGTATCCTTTATTGTGCACGACACAAGGTTTTAGTGTCTTACATTGAAAATTTTATTAAACTACTTTTTGAATAGAGTTGTTTATACATTGTTTAACAACAAGTAAAAGCTTGGAATGGTCTATTCTTTCATTGGGGTGTGTCTTGAGCCAGAAAAACAATGTTTAAACAACTCCACTCAATTTTGTACCAGCTGCCCAGTGTCGGCTAACAATATGCAGAATTAAATTGTGGCAGAATGCTACA